TGGCCTTAGACTAAGAATAGCTAAGAGCGTTGTTATGATCTGGCCTTAGATTAAGAATAATTTAAGAGCACTATTGAAATAGTATCTGAATTGAATAAAATGTGTTGATATGAACTGAACAATACCAAAACTGTGAATGTCTTAAATGAACATTGTGTGCATGATATCAAATGATTTGATTATGAATTTAGATTCAGTTTATATGGATGTTCGACGCATTAGATATGCTTACTCAGCTTTACTGCTGAGCGTGTAGTGTGTTTTATTTGCTACACGCAGGTACAACAGAAAGAACACTGTGATGCTGGCAGCAGATGGGGCGAGAATGTCGGGATGGATGTGACAAGTTTGAAATGATTTATGATATGTCAAAATTAAATTCGCTTCCGCAATATTGTTGAATACTCTGTACTGTATATGTTATGAAAAATTATTGGGATTAATAAAGTGTGTTTGAAAAGTTTTAAATTTTTACGATTACCAAGTTAATACTTTAGTCCGGAAGGGGCTGCAGACCTGGACGGATTAGGGTGTTACACTCACTCTTCGTTCAAAATTGAAGCCAGCAAATGCAACGGATAGTCTATTCCCTTCAACAGATAGATTATTCACCCAGCTATATATAGCTTCCATGGAAGACTGGAGAAAAGTGTGCATGAGATAACAAGAAAGACTACAACAACGACGAACTAAAACTATCTCATTCACAGTTAGCCAAAAAGTCTGATAAAGAGAGATTTCTAAACTCCTTATCCAGAAGCAAACTTTTCCTCCTTCCAAAGAGCTATAGTGTAAACACTTGAAGGTTTCCTTGCCTCAAGTATCACACCACGTTGAAGGATACAACTTTTAATCAAACATTTTGATTAAAAAGGGCAACATCAACTTTTCTACAAGTTGATATCGCAAGTCCTATTGTTCGGACCTTGCAGTTGTTGAAGAAGCGTGACCTTCGAAGAAACAACAAAGCCAGCACGAGTGCAGTAGCAACATTGGCCTTGCGAAAATATACCGTGCAGAAATTCACACAAGTGTAATTGTTGGTTCATTATTCAACAGCCAACTACATAGTGGATTTTGAGGACGTAGAATGATTACCCCACCTTCGAACCTCGTTAAAGTTTGCGTGTCTCTCTCTTTTATCTTTACTTATACTTGCACTTACATTAACTGTGAAACTAACCCATCCATATTGATTACTGCTCCAATAACCCACCAACTTCCGCACACAGTCTAAGTTCATAAGAACTCTAGGCTAACACTCATTTTCACGTTTTCAAAAGAAACAAAAAAGTTTTTAAATTTGTAACAAAGTCTATTCACCCCTCCCCCTCTAGACTTTGTATCTCACCACTTTGGGACCACCAATTGGTATCGGAGCTTGGTTCTCACTATCTAAATTTAGATTAAACAGAAGAGACCATAATGGTGAACAATATGGATCACGGTTTGCCTAAGTTTTCTCTTCTAGGTTATGATGATTGGAAGATCATGATGGAAGCACATCTCTACGCTCTACATGATTGCATGTGGATGGTGCTGGAAGATGGACCTCTGAAGATTCAAATGGAGAATCCAGAGAGGGATCCAAAGAATCCAGACGTAGTCCAGTACATTCCAAAGCCCAAAGAGAAATGGGATCATAAAGATTGCAAAAAGCACAATCTGGACAATGTCGCCAAAGCAGCCATCTTCAAGACACTTGATCCCATCACCTTTTCAAAAATCAAACATCTCAAGACTCCCATGGAAATATGGCAAGGTCATGGGAAGCTGTGTGAGGGATCAGAGGATCTGAGAAAGCAAAAGATAGAGGTTCTTCTTGAGAAGTTCAAAAGCTTCAAAATGCTTCCCGAGGAATCATTTGACATGCTGGATGAAAGATTCCACAAGATTCTAAATGATCTTGCATTACTTAACCACGTTCTTTCTCCCAAAGAAAAGAATGTAAGGTTACTGAGGTCTCTTCCGGCTGTGTGGTACACCAAAGCCACAGCCATGGAAGAAGGAAGAAATCTGGAGAACTACAATGTTCAAGGTCTCCTGGATGAACTCAGAACCTATGATGAAGAAGAAGAAGGAAGAACAAGTCACCCCTTTTCCCACGGCGCTGATGACAAATCCAAGAGTCCCAGCAAGCGAAGGAACATGCCCAAGGAGCTGTGACACTCCTTCCACCAGCCAACCACCAAGCTCAAAAATGGAGAACTACGAGGTGGAGCTTGAAATGATGATCAAGGAATTCCAGAAGTTCAAGAAATTCTTCAAGCAAACTGACGCAGTCAGAAGGCCATCCAAGGGAAAGCTACAGGTAAGCAACTCCCCTCCTGAATCATATCTCTGTTATAACTGCAGGAAGCCTAGCCACTGGAAGTCAGCTTGTCCGTACCCAAAGGTGGAAAAGTACGGAGAAGGAGAAAGGAACGAGAAGAAGAAAAAGACAATGGTAGCAGCTGAAAGTGACGATTCATCCAATTCAAGCTCGGATGAAGAAGCCCTCGTCTGCATGGAGCGCAGAGCTGAGAAATCCAACCATGAAGATTGTTGGACAATGTCAGAAGATGACACTCTTTGCCTAATGGCCAAAGATGATGCTGATCTAGAGGTAACTTCACAAACCTCCTGCTCATCTTCATATGAAAGCACACCAACTTCTGAAAATCTCTTTGAAAAGTTCAAAAAGATGATGAAAGATTTTGAGGAAATTAATCTCAAACACTCATCCTTAACAGAGGAGAACAAGCTATTAAGCGAAGAGAATCTCAAGTTGACTGAAAGCCGGAAAAGTCAACTAAATGAGATTACTCAACTCAAAGCTGAGAATGAATCTCTCTCTGAAAAGGTAAAAACTCTCAACAAGGAGCTAGGGATACTGATGTTCAAAGAAGCTGTGGATAAGCTTCTTGAATCGACCAAAAAGAAAAGGGAGAACAACATTCATTCCTCCCAAGCCTACGGCCAAACCCAATAAGCAGAAAGGTAAGGAGAAGGAGAAACCTATAGAAGTTCCCAAAAAGGTTGTCCCTCCTAAGAACTATAGGAAACTGGATGCACCTCAATGAGTAAACAATTTCAGAAGAAAACCTACTAACCCCCACTACTCACGAGGCTATACTCATTATGAGGTAGATAGAAGTTTTCCGAGAAACAGTGAGTGGAGAACTATGCCCAAATATAGTCATCCTCCACCACAAAAATTGTTTATTCCACCTAAGTATGCTTACAACCATCACAGGTCACACTATGCACAACCTAGACAAAAATATAGGTCTCACCAACCTAAGTTTGCTAGGAGTAAACACGAATTTACACCACCTGTACGTAGGAAATTTTATGTCTACAACTATGATTACAACCCCAACAAATTTAGGGCTGCAAGGAAAATTCCCTGCAACTTCAAACTTGATGTGGGGACACACACCATTAACTGTTCTGGACCCAAACTGAATTGCGTACCAAAATCTTCCTCCTCCTAATGCAGGAAGCCACTAAGTACCCAAGTTTCTGGTACTTAGACAGTGGTTGTTCAAGACACATGACGAGTGATGCCAATCTTTTGAGCAATCTAATTCCCTATGATAGTCCAAGAGTTACTTTTGGAGGAAGCAATGATTTTGGCCTTACAAAAGAGCTAGGAAGGTCTCAACTATAACCTTCTAAGCATAAGTCAGTTTTGTGTAAAGGTTATTCCCTGGAATTCTGCAAAGACATGGCATCCCTCAAGAACATCTCCACAAATGAAGTCATTCTTACTCGCAAGAGAATCAGGAACATCTACGAAGTAATGTGGGATGACGTCAAGGAAGCATGCCTAATCAGCAAAGGTGACACTAACCTTTTATGGCTTTGGCATAAGAGGTTGAGTCATCTCAACTTCAAAACACTCAACAAGCTGTCCAAAGAAGGTTTAGTGGAAGGTCTTCCCAAAGCTGTGTACAAGAAGGAAAGCATTTGTGATGCTTGTCAAAAAGGAAAACAAGTCAAATCCACTTTCAAGGCAAAACTGGCACACTCAACCACAAGGATATTAAGTGTTATTCACATGGACTTATTTGGACCTATCACTCCAATAAGTCTAAGTGGAAAGAAATATGTCTTGGTAGTAGTTGATGACTATTCAAGATACACGTGGACAGTCTTCCTCAACAGCAAGAAGGAAACTCAAGGGAAACTCACAAACGGGATGAAGTTGATTCAGAATCAAGCAAGTCAGACCATCCAGAAGATCAGATCTGACAAAGGCATAGAGTTCCTGAATGAAATCATCATTCATTACTGTGAAGAAAACAGAATTCATCATCAGACCTCCGCAGCAAAATGGTGTAGCTGAAAGAAGGAACAGAACCTTCAAGGAAGCAGTAAGAACCATGCTGGCAGAATCCTTCTTACCAAAAAGGTTCTGGGTTGAAGCTGTAAACACAGCTTGCTACACTCAAAATAGGAGTATGATATACAAAACGCACAATAAAACTCCCTATGAGCTATGGAATGGGAGAAAGCCTAATATATCATATTTTCACATTTTTGGGAGCAAGTGCAAGCCATCTTCCTTGGATACTCTCTAGTTAGCAAGGTGTTCAGAGTCTTCAACAAAAGAACCATGATCACTGAAGAGTCAATACATGTTATTTTTGATGAAAAACATGTAGTTGACAAGCCATCAAAGCATGATCATGAGTTTCTGGATCTCTCAGACAAAGATGAAGAAGTCAATGAAGGAGACATAATGAAGCCAACGGAGTTCATTCCATTCGGAAGTCTACCATTGAAGACTTCACGGAGAAGTCCGGATTCAGACAGCGCTGAGCCTACCAAAAATCATGGCCAGCCTTCCGAAATCCCGGATTTCTCACATGGCGACAATTCCAGAAACGGTAATAAGGTGCCAACCAATCCGGAAACACCAACAAACTCCATTCTTCAACTAGAAGCGGATCTAGATCAGCCAGTCAACCCTAATCAACACAATCTTCGTTGGTTAAGGGATCATCCTCCACAACAAATCATTGGAAATATTCAATCAGGCGTTCGTACAAGAAGCGCTCAACAGAATCTAGAAGCAATGCTTGCTTGTTTCATCTCGCAAGTAGAACCAAAGAGCATTGAAGAAGCTCTAGCTGACTCTGATTGGATCAATGCATGCAAGAAGAACTCAACCAATTCACCAGAAATGACGTTTGGAAACTTGTTCATAGACCTACTCATCAACATGTCATTGGGACAAAGTGGGTCTTTCGGAACAAGATGGATGAAAACGGCACTGTTGTCAGAAACAAAGCCCGGTTGGTTGCCAAAGGTTATTGTCAAGAAGAAGGTATAGATTTTGATGAAACCTTCGCTCCAGTTGCCAGACTTGAAGCTATAAGGCTATTTCTAGCCTTTGCTGCTCACAAGGATTTCAAAGTCTATCAAATGGATGTCAAAAGCGCATTTCTCAATGGAAACCTAGAGGAAGAAGTGTATGTGGAATAACCTCCAGGATTTGAGTTACACACTAAAGGCGATCAAGTGTATAGACTCAAAAAGACGTTGTATGGACTCAAACAAGCACCAAGAGCTTGGTATGATATATTGTCTCAATTCCTAATGGACAATGGATTAATCAAGGGAGTCATTGACAAGACCTTGTTCAAACTTCAAGATGGAGAAGATCTCCTTTTGGTCCAAATCTATGTGGACGATATCATATTTGGCTCAACTAAGGAAGCTCTTTGCACCAAATTCTCCACCCTCATGCAAGGAAAATTTGAGATGAGCATGATGGGGGAACTCAACTACTTCCTTGGCCTTCAAATCAAGTAGAGAAGTGAAGGGACTCTCATCAATCAAGCCAAGTACACAAGGGATCTCATCAAGAAATTCAAAGTTGATCAGAAGTCATCTGTTTCTGTACCCATGAGTACAACCACCAAGCTTGACATGGATGTAGATGGAAAGGATGTTGATCAAACTCTCTACAGAGGAATAGTTGGATCTCTACTCTACCTTACTGCAAGCCGTCCGGATATCCCATATGCAGTAGGTGTTTGTGCTAGATTTCAATCAAAGCCAAATAAAATCCATCTAATAGCAGCCAAAAGGATTCTTAGATATCTTAAAGGAACTCAGAACATGGGTTTATGGTATGCTAAGAGCAGCTCATTTGAGTTAGTGGGATACTCTGATTCTGACTTTGCCAGATGCAAAGTTGACCGGAAAAGTACTTCTGGTACTTGTCAATTCATTGGCGGAAATCTTGTTTCTTGGTTTAGCAAGAAACAAAACTCCATCTCTACTTCTACGACAGAAGCAGAGTACATTGCTGCTGGTAGTTGTTGTGCTCAAATCTTGTGGTTAAAACAACAACTACTGGATTATGGAGTCAAAACAAAGGAAGTGACTATATTCTGTGACAATCAAAGTGCTATAGCCATTTCACAAAATCCAGTGCATCATTCTCGCACTAAGCACATTGATGTCAAGCATCACTTCATCAGAGATCATGTGGAAAAGAAGGATATCGGGATTGAGTACATCTCAACTGAAGAACAATTGGCAGATATCTTCAAGAAACCGCTTAGTGAAGCTAGGTTTTTCGAATTGCTTCACAAAATTGGTCTAATTCAATTAGACTGAGTGCGGTACACGTGGGAGCCCACTTACCACGTCTGATAAAGAATCAAGTAGGCACGTGGCCTTGGGAACAATTAAAACCCAATCGCCACCAGCCGCATAAATCACCCAAATTGAAACCCAATCGCCACTACAATCAGATCTCAACTGCCCACTCAGCCCACTCGAATCTTCGTCGTCTTCCTCGAAAGAAATCTCTGAAGAACCCTAATTTCTTTGAACTCTTTCTCACAAAATTCAGAGAAAATGAAGGTTGGAGGAGCAACTATTCACTTCAAGAAATTGGAAGCCAAATGCTCCTCACCAGCATTCTACGAGGCATATTTGGAAATGATTGGAGCACAAGAACTCGTCGAATTTCTTCATCTGGAAATTTCTTTCAAGTATGAAGAAGAAGTTCTTGAATTCTACAAGAATGGAAGAATCTCTACCATTCAATCCAAGAAGAATCCACAAAGGTCGATTCAAGTCATTGAATCAACTATTGGAGGCACCGCAGTGAAGTTCTCACAGAAGAAGATGAAGAAGAAGCTCCATCTTCCCTACTCTGGAATTGACATTGGGAAGCTCTCGTCCAAAAATCTGGACTGGAACACAATTAGGATTTCTGGACAAATCCCCTCTGGCCCAGCAAAGAAGGCCGATTTAAAGAATGACTACAAATTAGTCTTGGAGCTGGTCATTGCATGTCTGGAATGTGGAAGTGGAGGACATGCAGATGACATAACCTAGGAAAGGGCCTTCATCATCAACGCCCTCATTACAAAGACTAAGGTAAATTGGGCTAAACATTTCTTCAACTCTGTTTCTAAGCACATCAGAAAGCCCAATCAGAAGTTTCTCTATCAAGGACTGTACCTTGGACACATTCTGAAGTCCATGGGAATTGCCTCTGAAGGCAAGAAGTATGATTCCAGATATTGGTTGTACTACCTGTCAACCAAAGGTTAAAACAGAGCCAGTTCTGCTGCAGAAGATGAAGGATCTTCAGACAATGTTCTGATTGTGACTCTGAAGAAGTCCTCAAAAAGGAAGCAAGAGGTATCTCCCTCCCCCAGTGCTGAGGAACCACACACTCTGGCAGTAGTCCCTCCCCCACACACTCAGTGCAGAACCAACCACAGGACAGTCCTCAAGATCTTAATGAGGAAATGTATCAAGACCAGAATCTTCCATCTCCTTCATCACAAGCTCTTGTTGATGAAGTAGACAAATTCATGAAGCTCTACTATGTTTGGAGAGCTTGGAAAATTGGAAACTCTGTAGATCATCAGTTGCTTGAATGGGATCAACAACTGAAAAATGAGAAGATCATCAAGAGGTGTCTGGGACTGCCAATCAACTGTGTTTGTGAGTAGATTCTGGATGAGGAATGGGTCTGGTAGAAAACCAATGAAAATCTACTGTTGGAACACTTGACTACCTCTCCACCCTCAGAATTTGAGATGGATGATGATTATACAACAGTCTACACACCTATGTTCATCAATTCAACTGGTAATCAGACTGGAAACCAGGCTGAGAACATTGCAGCTGAAGCATAGGCAGACTTGGAAGCTGAAGTAGAGGATTTCCACGTTTTTACGAAAATCTCCCCTGCCCTTCACATCAATCTTACTGAAGCTGTCCAGGAGAATGCAGCCACTCCTTAGTGAGAAGAATAGGTCCATGAGATCATCACAACCACTTGTGAGATCTCTAACCAGACTGAATCTGAAATTCTAGAAAAGTCAATAGAAAACCTGGAGAAGTTCACTCCTCCAGAAACAACAGCAGAGGAAGCTAATGAGGAACTAGCTGTAGAAGCATAGAGAAGCCTTGAAGAAGCCGCGGAAGGTGCTCAAATAGCTAGACTAGAGGTCATTGAAACTCCAGTTGCTATTTTTGAGCAACAAACAGAAGATGTAGTAAGAGATTCACTCTCCTAGGAGATCTCAGACTTCAGGGAAGTAGAGACTGAGGAAGAGTCAGTGAAGACTTTGAAAGTTCATGAAGAAGATGCAGAATGAAGGAGAAGAAGCTGAATCCCTCCCTCTGTAACTCTATCAAAGAGTACCTTCTTCCAATCAAGTAACGAACTTTCACTTTCACAGCTCTTCCACATCTATCTTTCCGGATGAGATGCTGGAATCCTGGACCAGGAAGGTCCAAGGGCTGATTGAGTCAGCCCTGGAGTCACAGAAATCCTCATTCAGGCAAGACCTAGAGAAGGTAAAAATGGGACACAATGAAATTCTGGAGAAGACTGAAGAAAAGTATAGCTCAAACCTCAAGGAGATAAGCCAATCTATCAACAAGACCCTTGAGATTATTTCCATGTTCAGCAACTTAGTGAGCAATTCCATGATAGCCTATGCCTCTGACTGCCATCTTCAACTCAAAGAAGCTATGGAGATCAATCAGCAGATTGCCACTATCACAGCCAGTCTTCAGAAGCAAATGTCATTTCTCCAGATGGACATCAGGTCAGCCCTGGCAGTGTCATCAGCAAATCAAGTGGTCACCCTGTTGGAGTTGGTGCCCTTATGGCCAACTGCTGTTGTAATATCTTAGATATTTTTTATCATGTAAAGGCAGATGCAACAAGTTTACAAACACCTCATTCTATCGTAAACTCTTAATTGCATTCCTAGAATTATAGTATAATATGTTTATCAGAATGAGTCTTCTGATGTTGAGACTAACATCTTGTCACTTAGTATAATTCTAAACGGTCTATAGTCGAAGCATTAACGAGAGTCGGATATCGTTAGTGCGTGTGAGACTAGTGAGAGTTGGATGTTTGACCTAGTCTCTTGGTCAATGACGGAGTGTTCGCATCTACTCTCGGGCAGATATTATCATTAATAATAGGATGCCAGACCTGACGCACCTTAAGGACATTGCCTAGACTTTTAGTCTATGCTCTAAGTGTCCTTAATACGACTATTGGTATAACGATCCTTATGTTAGTCATAGATGCTTTGATACCAATTGTTAGTCGGCTTAGTCGTTGTGCCCACGCCTTAGAGGGGGGTGAATAAGGCGTTTAAAATCTTTTCGAAGTTTGATAAAAGTGGTGTTGGCAAATGCGGAAGCAATATATAAAATGCAGAAATAAAAGCGTAAATAAAATGCACACCGATTTTATACTGGTTCGGGAACTCCCTACTCCAGTACCTCGAGGCTCCTCCTCAAGGATTTCCGAATCCACTAAGTCCCAGTCTCTTGAACTCCGTCAAAGCACCGCACTAGTTTTGGCAAACAATCCTTGCCAATAGGATTCACCCCGAGATTTTACAACGGCTATCTCGAACCGTTTACAATGAAGATTTAATGGCTATCTTCTACCGTTCCCCCAAGGATTTCAAAGGCTATCCTTGAACCTTTACCCAAGGATTTATACGGCTATCCTCGACCGATACAATATGAGAATTTAACGGCTATTCTCGACCGTATAAAGATGTGTTTGAAAAACACAAAAGAGGATTCTACACAATGGCTAGAATATAAAAATAAAGAACAAAACTTAGCCGGTGTAGAAAGAAAGTATACTCTCTCAAAAATACAATTCAAACTTATGAATATGAGAGTATATAACTTGAAACACAAGCTCAAAGTGTGTGTATAAAAATCAGGAATTTAAGGCTCTTGAAATAGCCAAAATATTGAAAATAATTAATAAAAGAATGAACACACTTAGAATATAAAGGGAGTATGTTTAGAGCTTTGTTTCTTCAAGAAATATGAAGGATTAGGCTTCTATTTATAGTGGAAGATGTTAATTAGCCGTTGGGAGGTGATTAGGGTTGATTTAATTCAAAATCTCAAATCAGGAACAGTAACCCAACGGATCCGGTAGGCTGGTACCGTCCTCACGGTAGCAAGGTACCGTGCGTACGGTAGGGGGTACCGTGAGTGGCGGTACCTCGGTACCGTGTAATACAGCAAACCAATCTGGCTCTGGTGGTACCTGTCCTCTAACGGTACAGAGGTACCGTGCCGGCGGTATAGGGTACCGTGTCGACGGTATGGGGTACCGTTTGGGGTACCGTACCACTGTCCTGCGTTTTCCAAAATTCCCTTAGTCCTTCGTGTTTGAGTTTAAAACCTTTTAGATATTTGAAAATGTTTATGGGATGGTTTTAAACATATTTTGTGAGTGTTTTTGAGCTTTTGAATATAGGTATATAAAATCATATCCTTACATTGGTTTCAACCTATATTCTACGCTAGTTTGGTGTTTCGACTTCATTCTTGAGTACCGAATCTTAATGGATTCTTGTTGTACCTGAAACACTTAAACAAACGTCAAGCTCTTATATTGTTTGTTAACATCAAAACATGAGGCTTAGCAAACCAAGGCTAACACCTTAGACATGAAGTATTACGTTCTTCGAATGCGTGAACCCATATGCTTTGATTCATTGTCCTAAGCCGTATGAAATAAGGATGGTACACAGGCTTTGTATTGGGCATGCCGCTGCACGTATTCAAAGACGTAGATTACGTACAAAGGATTTGTCACTGCTACTTAAGCAGAATAATGTCTTGTAGGGGCCCACTGATAAGTATGACTGAGGAAATGCATGGCCATGCTGAGATGAGTTTAAACATCTGTTCTCATTATCAGTAAATAACTTAATGCCTACATGTTGGCTATTTTATATATCCCTTGCACTAAGTTAAGACATTGGGACAAAAGGATCTGCGTTATACAAAGTCTTAGTCATAGAAAGGTTTTGACAGAGCAAACGTCTGAACTTATAATCTGTGGCCAGTTTTATAAGTACCTATATGGGTCACACACTTTGAACAATTTAAAGAGTGGGATTTCAAGAAGGGATAATATTTAATTTGTATATTGTAAAATAGTAAAGTAAAATGTTTAATATAATATATATGTATGTATATACATTGTACACGGCACATATAAATATATATATTTACTTGTTGCATGTACGAATATATATATGTGTGTATATGTGTATATACATTGTAACGACACATAAATATATACATATTATATGTACAAGCATATACATATGTGTGTAATATGTATGAAACGTGTACATGTATGTATACATTACTTTATATATATTATATCATGTACATTTTATTTTGGAGTGTCATTTTAATTATGAAAATAATTAGTTTGAAAAAAACTATTTTAAAGTATATTTTATATACTTGTTTTAAAATGTTTTGGGTATTTTATTTTACATTATAAAAATTATTGATGTCAAATAAAATATACTTTAAACATTTGAGAGGAGAAGAATTTTAAATTCATCCCCCTACTTTTCCTACATGGCTTTGAGTGGAGGGTCTCCCACTTTGTAATGTTTGGAGGAGAAGCTTTGGACAAAATCACTTTGGCTTTTTGTTATTGTTGATGTTTTATCACCTTGATAAAATGAAAAGATTTTTCACTCACACCACACACTTGATCAATTCGGCCAAGAGAAAGGAGAGGAAAGAGAGAAAATAATTTTGGGTACCAAAATTATTTTGGGTGTAGAAAATTGTTATAATATTTTCTTTAAAATATTATTGATATATTTTCTACTATTTAATATACAAGATTAATATTATCCCTCTTAAATCTTTATACTTTAATATACTATTATTATCTTTACTACCATAAAGATTATAGTAGACTCCAAAGATTGTTCGTGTGTCAAATTTGGAGGCCGGACGCTTGAACGGCTACGTTTGCTCCTTCAATATCTTTTGCTCGACTTCTCATTCATACCGCTTTACCGGAGAAGGTATAAGTTTCTATCTCTAGCTATAGTTTTAGTACGTGTTCTTGGGCTAGTAATCACTATTGGGAGATTAAATTTTTATATTTCCGTTGCCCTCCCAACCGTGGTTACCTTTCAGTGGTATCGGAGCCAACGTACAAAACTATAGTTTTTCGTAGAACTTTTTCGGTTGGAAATTATTTTTAACTTGGTAATTATTTGTTAATCTCGAAAATTAGTAAAATGATTTATTTTAGTCTTGGAATAAATATTGGACTTAAATAAATCATTAAAATAAATATTCATAATTTATTTGTACCGAAAATATGTATTTTATACATATATTCAGAAATTTCGAATATATATTAATATATATATATTTCGAAATTGTTAATATAATTTTATTGAACATAAAATTTCATTTTATGGTTAGTAAAATTATATTGTAATTTTAGAAATTGTTTATTTCCAATTTTTGAGTTAATTGTATTTGTTTAGATTTAATTCCAATAAATCTTAAATAAATATTGGAAACTCAAAAATGAAATTTATAAAACTTGGAAATATTCTTTCTAGGTGAAACAAATTTTTTCATAAATATATTGGACAAAATAATATTAGTTTGAAATTAATTGTATATATATTTCCGTATATATATTATCGAGTAATATATAGAAATATATATATATATATATATATATATATATATTAATTGAAAAATGGCTAATATAATTTTGGAAAATTATATATCAGTAAATAGTAAGTTGAATTTTATAAATATTAAATTTTATAATTTATTGATTTTTGAAAAATGATTTAAAATTATATTTACAATTATTGAGATATAATTAATATATTTATGAAATAAATATTTATAAATTCTGGAAATTTATTTTTCAGAATTATAAATGTTTAAAATAGTTACTGGAAGTTGAAAATAAATTTTCATCATTTGTGAAAATTCATTTCTCATTTAAATGGATTTTTCAAAATAAAATTGGCAAAAGGGGCATTTCGGTAATTCTGTATCTACTGGAACTTTCTCTTCCAGTTTTGACCCTGGCCGAAAGTCACATAATATGTTTAGGATGACTTGGTAAAATTTCATAATTTTTGGACCACTTTATGAATTTTTATGAATTTTAGAAAATAATACCAACGTAGTATTTTTCTAGAATTGTCTGGGGCGAGCGCGGTTCGCCCGGTGTATGTATATCTCTATTGCCTTTGTGGATGTATGATATGCATGGTGGATTATTGTGGCTATAGTTTATTTGATTATAATACGGTCTGCGTGTCGTGCCTTATCTCTTAAACTCTTGTTGTAAATCTATTTCCCTCTCTTACCTCAACCGAGGATTCTTTTCTCACGTGGTGGGTAGAAGATAAAAGATTTGAAGTCCGTTCGAGGGAATCTAAAGGAATGGAGATAGCCCGAAGTCCAAGAGCCTGGAAGTCAGTGGGATCTATCGTTTTATTTTTCTTTTAGGGGCCAGAATCATTACACGTTTATTTACTGCGTATTTTGAATGCATGTGAATGTATGTTTAACGCTAGTAATATGACACGTGCGCGGCATGTGTCGTAGGTGCGATCGTAAAATTTAAAATCCCTCGAAATATTAAGTCTGTATTGCCTTCTGGCGCCTGGCACCTTTCCGGCTAATGTGCACTGTCACGTACTCAGCCTTAGCAGAGCGTAATACGGTGTATGTTATGCTGCTCACGGGAATCACTTAAGTGGTCATTGTCATACGTTGGGTTAGACTTAACTGAGTCTCGGTCAAATGGATGGATGACTCAGAGGCGGGTTTTGTTGGGGTCACTATACTGACAAGTCGAATTACGTTACTCACTCATCCATCCAGAAGTTAGGTCTCTATGACATAATTGGGCTTTGCCCTAACTAAAGTAGTTGTGCATGTGGTACGTGCCAAAGCCATTCACATGTACGATGAAACGGTGTTCTAGTCCGTTAGTAGTATTGTCGTTCGCCCAACACAAGACCAAGAACTGTGAGCGCGGCTCGACAGTTGGAACTATGTTCCTACCTAAATAGTTAAATTCTAGATAGGAACCTCAGGTCAACTGGAATTTAATGATATATGGATCTTGGCCCATTAAGAGAATCTCTAGGAGAATCTCCGAATCAACATTGAGGGTTGTTGGTTTGTTAAAATAGTGGGAAATAATTAATTAAAAGGCCTAATTAATTATTCAACATGATAGATAACCTAGTTTGCAATTTCATTCTGTAGATGGCATCGAATAACACGTACAGTCATTCCATCAACCTGCGCTATATCCTCGAGAGCCAAAAACTCTCTAGGAAAAACTTTCTTGACTGGGAGAAGAACCTCCGAATAGTTCTTGACTGTGAGAGGAAACTCTACATCCTCGACATAGATCCTCCCAAGTCCCCTGCGGCAAATGCTTGTGCGTCCGAACTCACTTCCTTCAAGAAGTATGAGGACGACGCGCGAGATGTTAAGTGTATCATTATGGCAAGTATGACCGTGGAGCTCCAAAGGCTCCACGCGGACATGGAAGCGCGTTCTATGATACAACGCTTGAGAGACCTATTCCAGGGTCACCCCAAAAACTCGGGTATTTACGTTATTGAAGTCAACATGTCTGGTTTCACCTCTTGGGTGATGGATACCGGATGTGGTTCTCACATCTGTACTTCTATGCAGAATTTGCATGAAGTTAGACATTTGGCTGAGGGAGAAGTCCAGCTTAAGGTAGGAAACAGAGCACTTGTCAATGCGCTGACTGTAGGAACTTATGTTCTATCTCTCCCTAGTGGCTTGTTGTTGTATTTAAACAATTGCTTGTTTGTACCTGCCATTAGCAGGAATATCATTTCTGTGTCATGTCTTGACAAAGTAGGATTTTCTATTAACGTCAAAGACAAGTGCCTTTCGGTTTTCAGAAATGATATTTACTATGCAATTGCTAAGATGACCAATGGTCTTTATATCTTAGACTTAGATGCCACTGTTTATAACGTAGATGTTAAGAGAAGCAAACCACACAGTTTGAATCTCACATACCTTTGGCATTGTCGTTTGGGCCACATTAACGAGAAATGCATATCTAAGTTAAGTCACTTTGGCGTACTTGATTCATTTGACCTCGAGTCTTATGATGTATTCCAATCTTGTTTACTCGGTAAAATGACAAAGGCTCCATTCACCGGTCACGGTGAAAGGGTGAGTGATGTATTAGGCCTCATACACTCTGATGTATGTGGCCCAATCAACACTGAAGCTAGAGGTGGTTTCTCATACTTCGTAACATTTACTGACGACCTCAGTCGGTATGGATATGTGTATCACATGAAACACAAATCGGAATGCTTTGACAAGTTCAAAGAATTTAGAAACGAAGTAGAGAAACAATTAGGCAAAAGTATCAAGACCCTCCGCTCAGATCGAGGAGGTGAGTACTTAAGCCTAGAGTTCAACGACTATCTAAAAGAGCACGGGATCCTATCCCAGCTGACTCCTCCCGGTACACCCCAATTAAATGGAGTGTCTGAAAGGAGAAACCGAACGCTGCTCGATATGGTTCGGAGTATGATGAGTCTGACAACATTACCAGAGTCTTTTTGGGGCAAAGCACTATTAACAGCAGCACACACACTCAATCGCGTACCATCTAAAGTTGTTGAGAGCACACCATACGAACTATGGCGTGGGACGAAACCAAATTTGTCGTACTTGAGGATTTGGGGTTGTGATGTTTACGTTAGACGCCTCATGATGTTTGGTAAGCTTGATTCCAAATCTGACAGGTGTAAATTTGTGGGATACCCCAAGGAAACGAAAGCGTATGAGTTCTATCATCCGGCCGATAACAAAATATTTGTTGCTCGGAATGGAACCTTCCTTGAGAAGTAGTTTCTCTCTACTATTTCTAGTGGGAGAAAGGTAGACCTCGAAGAAATTCGAGAACCACAAGAAGAGATCTCAATAGCAGTAGAACCCGAGCGTCAAGATTTAGTATCTCGACCGGCTCAGGTTTTACCACGTAGGTCAGACCGGATGCGTAATCCTCCGGTTAGATACGGCTTCCTTGTATCTGATGAAGGTGACGTCTTACTCGTAGACCAAGGCGAACCTGAGACCTACCTCGAGGCAATCACGTGCCCTGAGTCTGAAGAATGGCTTAATGCCATGAAATCCGAAATGGATTCTATGTACACAAACCAAGTTTGGACCTTGGTTGATGCGCCCGAAGGGATAAAACCCATAGGGTGCAAGTGGATTTTCAAAAAGAAAACAGACGTAGACGGGAAGGTTCTCACCTTCAAAGCTAGATTGGTAGCAAAAGGTTATAGACAAATCCATGGAATTGACTATGATGAAACCTTTTCTCCAGTTGTGATGCTGAAGTCCATTCGGATAATGCTTGCGATTGCAGCGTTCTACGATTACGAGATTTGGCAGATGGACGTCAAGATGGCTTTACTTAACGGGAACCTCAAAGAGGATGTCTATATGACACAGCCTGACTGTAACACCCTAATCCGTCCAGGTCTGCAGCCCCTTTCGGACTAAAGTATTAACTTGGTAATCGTAAAATTAAAAACTTTTCAAACACTTTTATTTATCACGATAATATTTTTCATAACATATACAGTGCGGAGTTTTCAATATTGCGGAAGCTTAACAAATCATAATTACAAACATAATTTGTTTATGTTCTTTAATTCAAAACCATCACATCCATTCCAACAATCTCGCCTCCGTCTGCCTCTAGAATCACGTCACATCATTCTTTCTATTAACCTGCATGTAGCAAATAAAACATACTACACGCTCAGCGGTGAAGTTGAGTAAGCATATCTAAAGCGTCGAACATCCATATAAATTGAATCCAAATTCATAATCAAATCATTTGATATCATGCACAAAGTATTCAGTGCAAATATACAATAATTGGTGGTCCCGAAGTGGTGAGGTACAAAGTCTAAAGGGGGGGTGAATACACTTTGTTACAAATTTACAAACTTTTTCGTTTCTTTTGAAAACGTGAAAATAAGTGTTAATCTAGAGTTCTTGTGAACTTTAGATTATGTGCGGAATTTGGTGGGTAGAGTGAGCAGTAATCAATATGGATGGGTTAGTTTTCTCAGTTAATATAAATGCAAGTAAGAATAAAGATAAAAGAGAGAGACACGCAAACTTTAACGAGGTTCGAAGGTGGGGTAATCCTTCCACGTCCTCAAAATCCACTATGTAGTTGGTTGTTGAATAATGAACCAACAATTACACTTGTGTGAATTTCTGCACGGTATATCTTCGCAAGGCCAATGTTGCTACTGCACTCGTGCTGGCTTTGTTGTTCCTTCGAAGGTCACGCTTCTTCAACAAATGCAAGGTCCAAACAATAGGACTTGCAAGACCAACTTGTACGAAAGTTGACCTACCCCCTTTCAATCAATAAGTTTGATCAAAAGTTATGTCCTTCAACGTGGTGTGTTACTTGAGGCAAGGAAACCTTCAAGAATTTACACTATAGCTTTTTGGAAGGAGGAGAAAGTTGCTTCTGGATAAGGAGTTTAGAAATCTCTCTTTATCAAGCTTTTTGGGCTAACTATGAATGAGGTAGCCTCTTTTTGGTTGTTCTTCTTATTGTTGATGAGTTATTGTATATATTTTCTCCATTCTTCCAAGGATGCTATTTATAGCTGGATTGGATAATCTATCCGTTGAATCAAAATAGACTATCCGTTGCATTTGCTGGCTTCAGTTTTGAATGAAGATTGTGATTTGAAGATTCCTCATTGGAATGGGTGTTTGGACATACCCAATTGTTAAAGGAGAGATTCCTTTTTCCATAGAGTCCATCTTCTAGCTATTGTTCAAGTATTCTGGACTATAGAACTTTACTCTGTTTGTCTTCTAGTGCTTGTTTAGGAATTCTGGACAGGTTCTTCAATTCTTAGAGTTCTAGACTTTGTCTTCGAGTCATTTGTTCTTGAATCAACATAATTATCTTCAATCTAGCCGTTTAGCCTTCCGACTTAGCCTTCAGCGGGTTGTAATGAGACATCCGGTTCTCATGTAGTATTCCGGATAGGAGGATTTTCGTCTGCTTTGAGAGATCTGTCATTTCCGATCAAGATATCAAATTTCCAAATTTCTGAATTTGATTAAGTCTTCAGGCATCAAACCGTTTAAAGAAATATCACAACTTTATTGGAAATCTCAAGAACTTGGTTTTAACAATATTTCTAAAGGAAAAATTACATTGAATATCTGGGGAGACTTAAAGTCCCTATTACATTCTAAATACATCATCATCAAAATCTATGATATTTTTCCCAACAATTTCCCCCTTTTTGATGATGACAAACAAGTGTTTAAGAGTTCCGATTGCTGTACTGAGAACTAATTTTGTAACTTTCTTTTAGTTTCTCATAATATACAGCTTGTTAACAAAAACTCTTAAACAAATACAATTCAAATTACAATAATTCCTAAACCAAGTCTTGTCTTGAGATTTTGTGATCTCTTCCGCCATTGACCGTTTTCAGCTTCAGCAGATTCTGCTTGGCAGAGCGGTTGGCGTTGCGTTTGATAGATCTTTAATATCCAAAGTGGATATTTAAGATCTTGGAAGCAACACATCTCTCAAAATAAGAAGAAAGATAGAGAGAGTGTTGTTCCAAAGAAAGTGTATGGTGTAATCCTGAAAAATACGAGATTTCTACCATAGACCTTCTCTACTGCCGAGATTCTCACCATAGACCTTGAAAGTCTTTTCTTCTCAATAGGCTTCCATTGCCGTCTATGAGAGTGAGAAAGAAAAATTTCTCCATTGAGGATATTTTTCTTGGTGTGTTTCTTAGACAGTGAGTTTTAGGACTTTTCATATTGAAAGAGCTGTTTGTGATAGGAATGGATTGAGATATCTTGATTTAAATAAGAGAGGAGGTAGAGAGAGAGGAGGTTCACGGGTTCCATTAATTGGGTAGGTGGAACGGTGAGAGTAAAAGAGTTTCAACTTCCAAGAAGTTGAAAAGTGGAAGGAATCTTTTACCAATTACCAATGAATTGAATCCGTTCCAATTTGAAAATCAGTTTCGTTTGGTTTGAGAATCATAACTGTTTTAGTTTGGCTAAGCCCAAAGGAGTGGCCCAAAAAGAAAAGAAATCTATGTACTAAAGGGAAATTATTCCTATTGGGTTCTCAAGGCCCAAAATAAAGCTATCATTTTTCATTCCCTATAGTTCTAATTTCTACTTAGGGCGAGGTAGTACCTAAACAAATATGAATTTTATTTTTAAAAGAAAAGTGGTACTATTTTTCCAAAGTCCTGTACATTCTAAAAATCCTAAGGACCAGTACTTTTAGAGCTTGTTGGAAATGAATTAAGGACTGAAGCTTAGTTTAAGAAGACAGTTTTTGTAAAGTACCTGAATCGTAGATTTCCAATTTTAGTCCCAAAACTGAGATATCCGTCTTCCATTTCTTAGAGCTTATCAATAATTCATTGCCAAAAACAATTGTTAGCCAAAAACTAGTTAAGTTCCCCCTGAAATACATTCCCTCTGATTGTATGCGCTAGGAATAATTTTCAAAAACATACTTGAATTACGTATAATCAAGCATAGTGAGCACAATTAAGAGAAATATTAAGGCAATGTTTAAACCAATAGAGCAATGTTTAAACAAGAAGGTGTTTTCATCAAAGCAAATTAATGTTTTCACATACTTTCCCCCTGATTTGATGAAGAAAACCTTTAGTGCTTCTTGCGCTTTGAAGATTTGGCAATCTCCCTGATGCCTTGCATGCTTCCACATAGTTCCTTGATGCGCCTTATGTTGTTTCGTCTCTCCTCTGTTTGATTTTCATTTGAGAAGTGAGCAGCAATTGTTCCTACAACCTCTGTTCCATCCAATCCGGAGCTGGATAAGCACTGTGTTGAGTTTTCTGGATTGCTTCTCTGAGCTTCAAGGACTAAATCAGTAAAGTTTAGATGCGTAGGAATGTAAGAGACTTCTCCTTCTTTGACTGCAATGGGAAGCTCTGGAATCAAGGATGGACTGTGTTGTTGAAGAACCACTTCCATCTTGCGATTTCCAGAATTTGTGGTAAGAAGTCTGAATAATTTGTGTGCTTCCTTCTGATTGTCAATGATTACCTTCAAGTAGTCTTTGGTTACTACTTGATTTGCTGAAGACACTGCCAGAGCTGCTCTGATGTCCATTTGGAGAATGGACGTTTGTTTTTGTAGACTGATTGTGACATTTGCTACTTGCTCTTTGATGTTGTTAGCCTCCTTGAGTTGAAGATAACTATCAGATGCATATGTCTCCATCGTGTTGCTCACAGTGTTACTCAATAGAGATAAGATCTCTAGAGTCTTATCCACTGATTTGCTTATCTCCTTGAGATTGGAGCAATGTGTTTCTTCGGATTTCTCACTCAGTTTGTTTTGCCTGGCTTCCATCTGCTCTATCTCTTGCCTAAAGGAGGCATGTTGAGATGCTAGGGCTGAGTCAATCAGCCCTTGGACCTTCTTTGTCCAGATTTCCGGTACCTCATCCGGAAGAGTAGGATTGGAAGAGCTATGAAAATGGAAGTTGGTTACCTGATGAGAAGTGGGTGTTCTTTGGAAGAGTTGCATAGGAAGAGATTCAGCATCATCTTGTACATCTTCTTCATCATTGATCTTCAGGGTCCTTTCAGATTCTTCTTCTGCTTCCCCAAGTGTAAAATTTGATATATCCCGAGAGAGGGAGTCTCTTTCTTCTGCTTCGTTTTGTCCTTAAAAAATGGCTACTGGAGATTTGGTGGCCTCCATTTCTGCCATTTGAGTTTCCTTCTCAGCTTCTGCAGAACTTCTCTGGGTTTCTACAACTTGCTCTTCTTGAGCTTCATTTGTTTCTGGGGTTTTGGACATCTCCAGATTTTCTGTTGACTCCTCCGGGATCTCTGCTTCAGTAGGGTTGGTGATTTCACAGGGGTTTGTGAGAATCTCTAAAGCTTCAGAATGGAGAAGTTGCTGGAATTCTTCATTTGATCCTTCCTGGTTCTGTTTTGGTGTAGAGACTTCAGCTTCAAGTGGAACAGTTTCAAAGGCAGATGAGGCTTCCAGAAATATTTGGAAATCCTCAGCTGTTGTTTCCAAGTTAGCTTGTGCTTCAGAAGAGTGAACCACCTAATCTTCTATGGTTTTTGAGAGGACTGGTTTGTATACTGCAGGATCCTCATCATCCACTTCAAACTCTGAAATTGGTGAGGTGACCAAGTGTTCCAGATGCAAATCTTCATAGTTCCTTTGCCATACCCAGTCAACATCCAGGATTTGCTCACAGCAATAGTTGACTAGCAGACCTAAGCATTTCTTGAGGATCTTCTCATTCTTCAATTGCTGGTCCCAACTCAGCAACTGTTCTGCTGAATTTCCAACTTTCCAAGCTCTCCAGTCATAGTAGAGCTGCCAGAATTGATTCTCAGCATCATCTACTTGAGGTTGTGAGGAAGTTGGAGAATTCTGAACTTGAGGAATTTCTTCTTCAAGTTGTTGAGGACTCCGGTTGTGAGCAGAGGTTTCCTCAGTTGGTTCTTCAAGTGTTGGTTCTTTCTCCTTCAACTCATCCGGATTGACATGTCCAGATGTTGAGGGAGAGGTGATCTTCCTCTTCTTTTTCCTTTGTAGTTCTCCTTGGTCAGAGGATTCTTCTTCTTCTTCAAGATTTATTGGAGCAAGATTCTGTGGTGCTTCAGCACTGGGAGAGGGAGACACCACTTGCTTCCTCTTTACAGATTTGTTCAGACTCATGATAAGAACATTGTCTGAAGAACTTTCCTCTGCAGTTGTGCTAGCACCAGCTCTGTTTTCCCCTTTGGAAGACAGATAGTACAGCCAATATCTGGCTTCATACTTCTTTCCTTCAGAAGCTGCACCCAAGGACTCCAAGATATGTTCAATGTACAGACCTTGACACAGGTATTTCTGGTTGGGTTTTCCCAGGTGCTTTGAGATGGAATTGAAGAAATGAGCAGCCCAATTTACCTTAGACTTGGTAATGAGGGCATTGATGATGAAGGCCCTCTCATGGGTGATGCCATCAGCATGTCCTCCACTTCCACATTCGAGGCATGCGATAACCAGTTCAAAGACTAGCTTGTAGTCGTTGTTCAGATGAGCTTTCTTCGCTAGGCCAGAGGGATTTTGCCCAGAAATTCCAATAATGCTCCAATCCAGATTCTTGGCTGGAAGTCTCCCAATTTCAACTCCAGAATTGGGAAGGTGAAGCTTTTCTCCCAATTTCTTCTGCGACAATTTCACTTTTGTCCCTCCAACAGTGGAATTGATGAGTTGAATCGTCCTTTGTGGGTCCTTCTTCGATTTGACAGTCTTGACCTTTCCATTTTTATAGAATTCAAGAACTTCGTTCTCATACTTGAATCGAATCTCCATATGAAGAAATTCGGAGAGCTCTTGAGCAGCAATCATCTCCAGATAGGATTGATAGAACGTTGATGAGGAGCACTTGGCTTCCAACTTCTGGAAATGGATATTAGCGCCAACAATCTTCATTTTCTCGGAGATTTGAGAAGATCTAAAGAAATTAGGGTTCTTGAGAATTTTATCAGAAGATTCTCGTGAAGAAGACGATGAAAGATTTGAGTGTGCTGAGTGGGCAGTTGAGGTCTGATTATAGTGACGATTGGATTTAATGTGGGCGATTTATGCGGCTAGTGGCGATTGGGTTTTTAACTGTTCCCAAGGCCACGTCCCCACCCATCATTTTGACAGACGTGGAAAATGAACTGCCACGTGTACCACACTCAGTCTAATTGAATTAGACCAATTTTGTGAAGCAAATCGGAAAACTTGGCTTCACTTAGTGGTTTCGTGAAGATATCCGCCAGTTGTTCTTGAGTTGAGATATACTCAATTTTGATATCTTTCTTTTCCACATGATCTTTGATGAAGTGATGCTTGACATCAATGTGCTTAGTGCGAGAATGATGCACTGGATTTTGTGAGATGGCTATAGCACTTTGATTGTCACAGAAGATTGTCACTTCCTTTGTCTTGACTCCATAGTCCAGTAGTTGTTGCTTCAGCCACCGAATTTGAGCACAACAACTACCAGCAGCAATGTACTCTGCTTCTGCTGTAGATGTAGAAATGGAGTTTTGTTTCTTACTGAACCAAGAAACAAGATTTCCACCAATGAATTGACAAGTACCAGATGTACTTTTCCGGTCAACTTTGCATCCGGCAAAGTCAGAATCTGAGTATCCCACTAACTCAAATGAATTACTTTTATCATACCACAAACCCATGTTCTGAGTTCCTTTGAGGTATCTAAGAATTCTTTTAGCTGCTATCAGATGACTTTCCTTTGGCTTTGACTGGAATCTGGCACAAACACCTACTGCATATGAGATATCCGGACGGCTTGCAGTAAGATAGAGTAGAGATCCAACAATTCCTCTGTAGAGAGTTTGATCTACATCCTTTCCATCTACATCCATATCAAGCTTGGTGGATGTGCTTATGGGGACAGAGACAGATGACTTCTGGTCAACTTTGAATTTCTTGATAAGATTCCTTGTGTACTTGGCTTGGTTGATGAGAGTCCCTTCACTTCTCTGTCTGATTTGAAGGCCAAGGAAGTAGTTGAGTTCCCCCATCATGCTCATCTCAAATTTTCCTTGCATGAGGGTTGAGAACTTGGTGCAGAGATCTTCTTTAGTTGAGCCAAATATGATGTCGTCCACATAGATTTGGACTAACAGGAGATCTTCTCCGTCTTGTAGTTTGAACAATGTCTTGTCAATGACTCCTTTGATAAATCCATTGTTTATAAGAAATTGAGACAATGTGTCATACCAAGCTCTCGGAGCTTGTTTGAGTCCATACAATGCCTTTTTGAGTCTATACACTTGATCTCCCTTAGTGTGTAACTCAAATCCTGGAGGTTGTTCCACATAAACTTCTTCCTCGAGGTTTCCGTTGAGAAATGCACTTTTGACATCCATTTGATAGACTTTGAAATCCTTATGAGCAGCAAAGGCTAGAAACAGCCTTATAGCTTCAAGTCTAGCAATTGGAGCGAAGGTTTCATCAAAATCTATACCTTCTTCTTGACAATATCCTTTGGCAACCAACCGGGCTTTGTTTCTGATGACAACGCCGTTTTCATCCATCTTGTTCCGGAAGACCCACTTTGTTCCAATGACATGTTGATGAGTAGGTCTGGGAACAAGTTTCCAGACGTTATTTCTGGAAAATTGGTTGAGTTCTTCTTGCATTTCATTGATCCAATCAGAATCAGCTAGAGCTTCTTCAATATTCTTTGGTTCCACTTGTGAGATGAAACCAACGTCAACCTAGGTATATCTTAGAGTTCTTCTAGATATCCTTACAATTCAAATCATTTCATAATCATCAACATATTCATTTCAATTCATAATTTAATCTTCAATAATCATTTTAATCAGTAGTTTCATCAAGTCATAATCATCATAATAATCATTCATCATAATCATCAATCAACATAACATTTGATAAGAAACAGCGGCCTAGTCTCGAGTGTTAACACCCGAACTTACCGTCATGCATCACATAGTATTTTATATGCCAAAAACATCATTTTTATTATACAAAATCATATTTATATTGTGTATCAAAAATAGGATTTCATAGTTCAAAAATCATGTTTTTTAAACAATAATTGATTAATATATGATAGGAAATTTAGTTATTAACTATTAGCTTCATTTCCTTCAATAGTGTAGGGAGACAGTCTACTGTCACTTCTGATAATCTACTTTCTCATGTTCAGAATGGGCTGATAATCGATTATCACACTCTCATAATTGATTATCAAACTTTAAAGAGGGCTGATAGTCGATTGTCACATTCTGACAGTCGACTGTTGCTCAGCTCTGTTCCAAAAATCTGCAGAACAAGCTATAGTCGATTTTTAAGTTGATAGTCGACCATTCATCGTCTTCTACCTCGAGTCAACTTGCGGAAATGTCATTTTTACTCTCCAAACTTCAACTAAAGTATATAAAAATGTTCTCCAAGGTTCATAGATCGTTTTGGCATCATTAATTCATAGTTTTAACATCAAAATCATGGTTTGTGATTCTTAGTTCTTCAAGCATGTCAAACACAAAACTTAACCAAATGACCATTTATGAACGTAGAAACGACCTATATGAACATTCTAGTCATTAGATATATCTACGGGCTTACCTCGAAGGTTAATGGAGGTTTTGGAAATTTTCCGGCAAAACATCCGGTGAGTATTTCTCCCAACTCCGGAGACTTCACACCAAATTGACAGCACCACAACACTCCTCACACTTTCATGAACACTTAGGAAGAAGAATGAAGAAGAATGGTGAAGAAATGAGAAGGAATGGTCTCACTTATATAGAAGGAGAAGGAAGGATAAAGCAAGCCCTGTCACCTTCTCCTGTTGGAACGGCTGAGTGGAGGAGGAGGCTGATCTCTACGGTGTTTTAAACGCAAGTCCCTGATTGGGACTAATTTTGGTCCCAGTCGGGGTACACTTTTTGGTCCAACTTTCTGCGAATTGAATTCCGTTTGTACCGTTGCGATCAGACAGTCGAATTCTAGTCAACGGTTTACTTATTATAATTATTTGTAATACTTTTTCTGATATCATATTTTTGGGTGTTTGACTTTGACAGAGTCAAAATTGGTTTAATTGACCTTTACTCAAAAAGGTTCTTGCATTCCATTCATATTATTTATTCTCATGATTTATTTCAATAAATCATTTCAAAGTTTATATCATAAACAATTTTCTTCATTTATTCTCAATTTGGGTCTGTACTCAAGTTCCCAACCAAGATTACCCAATTAGACAACATATTGGATTTATCTTTATGAGACTTATCCTGATTTGTGATATTGGATGTCAAAACACATTTCATTTCGTCCCAAGAACTATTTATTTTAATCGAAACAAATTTGACTAATTGAATATTTATTCATTAAAAATATTAGGGTATGTTTTGGGGCGTTACATTTCTCCCCCCCTTAAAGGAATTTCGTCCTCGAAATTCTTCTAAGGGTCAACGTTTAACATTTCGTAGTGATCTCACTTTATCATGACCGTGTCATGTTCATTTAGTTAAACCATAATTACGTCATTATCCAAACGGGTACGTATTCTCAAACTGTCGATGTTATCAAACTCGTTCTTTCTTCAAGAGGTTAATAGGCAAGGCATCCAACAATCCATTTCGTAGGTTCCTGCTCAGATGCAACAACCATAACCTAACTTCCTTTGCAAGGTATAACATCGTATTTCTGATCATACTTGACATATTTGTACATCATTTCGTTCATTCACAAATCTCGATTGCATGTCATTAGTCAACAACATTCTTTCTTTGATTGAAAGTCTCTTAGCAACATTTGTAGTTTTGAATCACAATAGATGTAGTGGGAGATTCCGAGGTTGTTTTAATCCATACGTTTTAGCGAAATCATCCAAGTCATTCAAGACATCTTCACATTATTCATATAGTTCAGAAATGATTTGTAAGTAACATCAAATGGCTATTCGTGGTCCAAGATTTTCAAGATATGGGATTTATTATGAGGAGGTACTACTCGTTGTACAGTCATTATCGATTTCGTATTTGAAACATTCCTTCGTTCACCTTCGTGATAGTTCTCATTACCGTTAATGAGCCTTCGTAACAATTCACATTCGAGCTTTGTCTCGTATTTGTTTGATCATATTCGACTTCCTTACTTCGATCAAGATATGATAATGACACGTTCGTTTTTAGCACTATGGTTAATCTCGTTTCGAGGAAAGAAGAAAATATCTTCATATGTGATTCAATTCATGAATTTATAAAGTAAGGAATCTTACGAGTTCTTATACCAATATCGCATATAGGTTCGGAATTTTTGCTTGAATGATTCAGCTTGATCCTTGTGACGTCATTTCTTCTCTGGTTGTTGCAATAACGGAGTTTGTTTGGTCAAATGAGATCATCGATAATAATCTTCAGAGATAACTTAATCGCATCAACCATTTTTTGGTTCACAAAGAGAGACTCAACATAATATTCCAATCAGAATGCTTTTACCGTAGTTCACAGAGTGTAGTTTTCAAAGATCGGTATAACGTATCTTGATGAATTAAGACAAGTTCCCAAGGGTTTAATATTTTTATACAACACTGGAGTTCAATCGTTGATCAAGTGGGATTTTTTTCAAGGGTGTAGTTTAACACAGCAAATTTTGAGTAATTCAAGGATTTGAGTCACAAAATACAGAGATAACGTTTGCGAATTATCGTTACTAATCGTAGGTTTTCATCCTTCAATGTTTCACTCTTTGGCAATTACTCAAGGGGTCGTTGTCTTAGGAAATAGTCATTTTGATTTTTCGTCTCGGATTTGAACGTGTTTTAGGATAGCAAATCTAACTGTTCAAGAGTCTCAATACGTCATATCGTCAGCAGACTATAGTATTAGCGAGTACGTTCTCGTCTGCAGGTAATTTGAATCCATTTTACTGTATGTATTTTGGCTGGTGATAATTACTTTTCTATCAATGGTCCGGTTTTAGAGACTATATATATCACGATTATGGAAAGAGTATCTCACATTCTCACAATATGGAAGGAACTTCTCGAACACTTC